CCATCTCTGCGAACTTTCATGAACCATCGCGTGGTACATAGATCACAGATGCTTTGTTCCTTAATATGCCGATTCAGAGATGGCACCCTTCCAAAACTAATGTTAGATTTTCGAACTGACAGTTAAGATAGGGTTTTAAAGAAAGCATTCCCCAGCATAGTACCTTCTCTCTTGTCACTATGTGTTAATTCCACTTAGAGAAAAACACACTTAATTGTTTCAAAGATTACTTTTTTTTTTTTTTTTTAGTAAATTTGTAGTAAATGGGGGAGATTAATAAAGGGCTATTTTTTTCTCAGCCTGTGGTTTCTAATTACATCAGTTACAGCTCAGCCTTCTTCTTAACTAGAGTGCAGGCATAAACTGGAAAAGAATGAGCTAATCCATGATAGATCAGGTGGAATAAAGATCTCCATTCATATCTTTACTTTTATCCCTTGTTCTGAGTGCCAAGAATTAATGCTGTTTGAAAGTACAAGCTGAACCTGCCAGGCCCCAGTGGCTGAGATAATCCTAATTATTTTCAGTGTTAGTGAGAAGGGTAGCCGCTACACTGGGGGGGGGGGGGGGGGGGGAGTTTTCTATTGTGAAACATTAAGTATCTGCTAAGTAGTATTGATTGGATCTGATTTTATTTCCAAACACGACTGTTATGGTGAAGCAGGAGAATTCGTTGTTGAAGAAATTTTCATAGCTTTCCACCATTCAGAAAGTCACCAAGCCATTCATTTTTCTTCCTCAGCAAGAGTGGCCAGGTGAAGAACTGACACCCACTCGCGTTTTATTTTTTAATGGTTTCTTAGTAGGAGTTTAATAGTATTTAACATACAGAGGAAGAACATTTTTCCCCCTTGAGCACGGAATAGTGCGTTTTCTCACCTCACTGGGAGAGAATTACTCGTTCCAGCCCATTGACTTCCAACAGATTATTCAAGTTAAAAGTCAGGGGTCTTTGCAATGTCAAAAGACTGAGCAGTTAGAGTGGTTTTTGTTTGGTTTGGTTTTTTTTTGTTTAAAGAGGGTTTTTCCTTTTACTTATTTTTTTTTTCCTTGTGGCAGTATATAATCATTTTTTTTCCCAAAAAGAATAGTGGTAGTTAGATGGCATCTCCAAAATCATCTTAAATGTTTCTTCTTCATATTGATTAGAACTATTCTGGCTAAGGTTTTGGTTTGTTTGTTTTGAAATAATAATAAAAGAAAGACCATTTAGACAAGTAAGCTATCTGAGAGACACCAGGCCCTGGGCTTGCTGGTTCAAATGGGGGTCAGCCTCTATACCCCATCTACCTTCTTTGTAACACAAGAAAAGATCAGATGGGCAAGTTTTCCTTCTTTCTTTCACTTTACTGTTCAAACTCGCCTCTAACCTCCAGAATCATTTCTTCCATTTCTGTAAATGCTGCCAGGCTAGCTGTGATTATGGGTTAGCATAATCCTTAATTGGTTATTGGCTGTGAATGCTTCCTGCCCCCTTTTTTTTCCTCCCCCAAGCACTAAAGCGGGGCACTCACATCTTCAGTGAGCATCTCTGAGCCAATTATTCTTTCTTTCTTTGGGGTTATTCCCCAGAGTGGAATTACCAGGTCAGAGGGCTGAACAGTCTCGTGGTTCTTATTACATGTCACCAAATTGCTATCCAGAAAGATTGAACCAATTTCAACTGCTTCCAGTAACTGTCTCCACAGAGCCCAGGACATTACAAGTTAGGAGAATTTTTACAAAATGATTCATCCAAATCTTTTCTGTTGAGATTAGACCTGCCCAGGGCCCATTAGAGTCCACTTAAAAAGAGAGAGGGGAAAGGGATCACTTGGGGTGTTTACATTTCTAATTGATATTCAGTAATTTGCAATGGTCAATCATTAATAAAGTTGCATTAAAATGTATGGGATAGCTGGCTGCCAGTGCCTGTAATCCTGAACTACCCAGGAGGCTGAGATCTGAGGATCAGAATTGAAGCCATCCCAGACAGGAAAATTCCATGGGACTTTTTATCTCCAATTAACTAGCAAAAAGCAGGAAGTGGAGCTGTAACCCAAATGGTAAAGCACCAGCCTTGAGCAAAAAAAAATCTAAGGCACAGTGCCCAGGCTCTGAGTTCAAACTCCAATGTCAGAAGGCTGGGGGGCCGGGGGGTAGGCCAAGATAACCTTAAAGGACAGTATTAAAGAACTGCAGTAAAGGGGCTGGGAAGGTGGCTCAGTGGTAGAGTGCTTGCCTTGCATGCATGAGACCCAGAGTTCAATTCCTCAGCACCGCATAAGCAGAAAAAGCCGGAAGTGGTGTGCTGTGACTCAAGTGGTTAAGCGCTAGCCTTGAGCTGAAGAGCTGAGGGACAGTGCCCAGACCCAGAGTTCAGGCCCCACAACTGACCCCCCCCCCCTCCAAAAAAAAAAAAAAACGAATTGCAGTAAAATAGATCTTGAGTATTAGTAAAGGGAGGAAAACACTAAATCTTTGTTAGGCAGTTTGGAACTTTTATGAAGTGCTATACAAAATGAGTTGAACAGACACTGTCCCTAATTTCTGCAGGCTAATATTCAAAGACATACTAAGCCTTGAATGGGTTAATAAAACAATAATACGGATTTAGATTTTGAGTGGAGAAACACTTTTTCTAAATGCAGGTGCTTTTCAAAACAGATTGAGTTCATGTATTTACTCCTTCTCAGGAGCTCAGTCATGCGTTAAGTGGGCTCCGAGCTCGATCTGTGCAGGTAACACATTCTTTGTATCTCACATCACACGGGGACTTTCCAAGGAAACATTTCCTAGGCAAGTGAGAGCAAAAGGGAAGGCACTTCCCAAATTTCTCTCTTTTCCAGAATTCCCACTCTTCCCTCTTTCTCCTCTCAAATTGGCTACATGGGGGTTGGGCAAGAACTCACTTTTCTTTATCTTCTAACTGTAGGAGAAAGGCAGGCCGAGGACAGAAGTGTTGGAGAAACTTGCTCATTCCTGAACAGACTCTGCATCTGCCTGGCAGGGTTCGTTTCTGCATCCCCTTAATCCCACACAGGGAGTAGAAAGGTGATCAGGGTTAGAATAAACTGCAAGAGCATGCCAGTCAGGGTCTCCCTTATAAAATGGGCAAGAATTATGCTCTCTGTGAATGCTTTGAGGGTTGAAATACCTCATTACAGTATGGGTCATACTAAAAGGTAGTGGCTTGGGGCAAGCAGATGAACTCAGACTCTCCGGTGTGCTCTCCACCTGTCCATACTCACAAGATCTCAGAACAAAGACTACCACCTTTGAACAACATTTCTTCCTTTGTATATTCATAGTCCGGTGCCTGTACATAGTGTGTGCAGTATGTATGTACAAGTTATAAGTCACTTTGTATTTGCAAGAGCTTTGAAATCCATATTAACAACTCAGATTTAGCAAGATGTTGTTGTTGCCTGCAAGAAGGTTAGAAAGATGCACATGCATACTTTTCTCCCCTTCTCCACCCCCTGCATCTATAAAACATCATTTAATGATTCCTATTGCTTTGAAAGCTTGCAAACTGTCCCTTTTTAAGTTACAACAGACTGAAATTCATTAGCAGTCACCATTGATACAAAAAGTAATTGCTTGTCAGGAAAATGGCTTTTCAAATTTCTTCACCTTATGAAGTCTTCAGAGCATCCTTTATTGGTTATAGAAGTAGCTTGTCCATCTGTCTTATCTGTATGTCACATTGGGGGAAGAAAATAATTTGGTCCAATGGTTAAAGGTCCACTTGTGAAATCGCAGCTCTGATCTTTTTATTTCCCTGTGGTTCCACTAGCGGAAGCAGACCTTTTCCAAATGCATAACAAGTGTAAATAGTGTTCTCTTGTAAAAAGGTCTCTTTCAGCATAATATACCTTATTAAATTCCAAACATAATAAGTATTGATGGCAAACATTTCAGAACCCAGTACAGCTTCTTCTAGGATTTAGTTCTCTCCAAATGACTTCAGCACTCAGCTCCCGGTACATTTTGCTAATTACATCATAGATTTCCCTATTGATGAACACAAGCTGAATTAACACAGGAGCACTAATGTACCCTTTCACCATTATTGTCGTACAAGAAGCCGTGGCAGATGCTGGCAGTTAGTTACACAAACATTAGTATTAACGATTGGCCATTTGGAATTGGTGACAAACTACTGCCCGGCAGAATCCTGAGGCTGAAACCAATCAGGAAGTTAATGAGGAGAGAAATTACCACTGCAGCTTCCCTTTAATTACATTCACACTAGGCATGAAGGGAGTTCTGGGGGTGGATCTAAACTCAGCTAAGGTTAAGAAGGTCAGAGACCCTTTTGCTTAAATTTTGTATCTATTGCGGCTGGTAGGGTTGCAAAAAATTGTTTATTAGCACATTACTATAGCATCCTTCATATTTAATGTCAGTGTCTCAGTTTTTATGTTCATCTGTTAGTTTTCAAAATCTTTACCTGCTAGTTTATTGCGATATAATTTATCTTCTTCCATTAGAAAAAAATCTCTCCCATTTACTGCTTTTAAAAACTTATGTGCATACACACACACAAACACATCTGTTGTGTAGTTTTCAGTCAAGGGAAGTAATAGTGGAGTTGATCATGCCATCCACTTTGTTTGCTAGATCTTTCCAGATGGAAAATGCATGGGTGGAGTCTTGCTGAGGAATAATTTCTCTGAACTCTTTCGTGTGGACCACTTAACCAGACAAGTTTCATCTGCATCCTTTGCATAAAGGGGCAAATTTTTCTTGGTTTTATTTGGTAATGAACACAGATTTGAGACTCTACTACTCTTGTATTAAGTAGAGGTACTGTGTAGTTTGTGTGTGTGTGTGCGTATGTGTAATTCTAAAGAAGAGATTTTAATGAGGGTCTGTAAAAAACACTTGCAAAATTCCAAACAGAAATGGAGAGTGTCACTTTCTTTGTTGGAACCTAATTGAATATGGAATGTAGAAAGATTAGCCACTTTTAACTTTCTTCTTTCCTCCCTCTCTTTCTCTTTCCCACTTCCCAGTATTCTCGCCCCCCAGCAGCCAAGATTCTGGCTTGGTTTCCCTTTCTAGCAGCTCTCCAATGAGTAATGAGAGTACAAAGGGGGTTCTCGAATGTGAGTCTGCGTCAGAGCCCAGCGGCTTCGGGGTCACTCCAGTCATCGAAGAGGAAGAAGATGAGTAAGCGAGTAAGCGGTGCTGGCCGCTGCTGCTGACCACACGCTTGGAATAGCAGGTTTATTCCATTGCCTACAGGGTTTGTTGTTCTGGCATTGACTTCGTCGTTGAGAATGTTTGGTTTATACCTCTTAGGGTTTAGTCCAGAAGCAAAACACACTTACAGTCATTTATAGGGTTTTTGTGGCTACCATCTGCAAGAATTAAGTGCCTTTGCTCATGGAGTTTGAGTCTCTCAGCTTTAAAAAACAAAACAAAACAAAATAAAACAACACTGGATTGCATGCAGTTTTCAAGAAATACAGTAATTCACTAAAATAAAGCTATATATATATATTTGCATCTCAATTAGAATCCTAATTCGATTTTAGTTTTAAAAATGAAATTTTAGGCGTCATAGATTCTAGTATTTTTAATAAGACTGCAGAAATATAAACTTAGTCAAGCACTTGACCAGTGAGAAGAAAAAGAGCAGGCCAAAAAAAAAAAAATCGATTATTTACAAATCTACAGAAGGTCAGGGTAAATGGAAATACTGTGTGTTTATGTTGCTGTTGGAAATAGCAATACCTTATCCCCTCGATCCTAAGCATAACTGAAATAGAATGAGAAAAATTAAAGCCTTTTCAGAACAGCTACTTTTCCTATAAAGGGTAATTTGAAACAACACAACTTAAAGGTAGCCCCAGCGAGGTAGGGCTCCCGGGTAGTGTTTCTAGAATAATATGAGTTTAACATACACATTCTATTACAGTGAAGGGGAGGGGGGGGGGATGTAATCTAGACTATTTTGTAACCTTAGGTTGTAATCTGATTTGGAAATAAGTACATCTTTTTAAAGTTACTACCGATTTCTGAGTTCATTATTTTGTTTAAAAATTGGTTATGGAGTACTTCCTTATGTAACAGAAGCCACACTGAAATGAAACTAGTCTTTTAAAAAAATCGTTGTTCTGTGTAGTTGCAGCTGTACCTGAAATAAAAATGTTATTGATGACTGAATTTTCTTGTGTGTATATTTGGTGAGCGGTATTAAACAGGGGAAAAAAAGAAATTACTTGTATTTTCTTCGCTCTGTGCTTTGAAAACATCTATTTGATTTCACCTCCATCTGTTGTAATCAATAACCTGACCATCTTGTTTTTTATTAAATGCACTTACTCTTAATTTCATCCACCAGTGGTTTTAGAGAGAATAATGTGGAGTTACCTATATAGGTTTGACATTATAAATCACTTCTTGGGGCTGAATCGTATAGTGGTATCGATTGATCCTGATATATCACAGAAATTTACTGTCACTTCTGTTTTCAATTAAAGATACAATCAGTCAGATAATGACTTAATTGGATTTTACAGAAGATTGAGTTTTATTGCCCAGTGCTTTACGAGTTTAGTTAAGGAAGATCATTTTATCACACTTGTCAGGCCGCTGCTACCCGCAGCCCAGTGCCCTTTGCTGGCTGTAGCTATTGTGACGGGCGGGCGACACCGGCAGGCCGCGGGGCGGCTGGGGGTGGGGGGGTAGGGAAACGGGGCTGGGAGCTTTCACGTCCCAGGGTTTACTGATGGCATTTCCAGAGATGAGGGTCCTCTCTGCTCACCCACGGCCCCAGCCCCCCCCCCCCCTTTCTTTCACGAATCCAGGAGATCTGCAACTCCGTGAGGTTCATCTGAGACGTGTTCAGCAGAGCAGCCGGGTCCCCGCCCCTGCACGCCAGCACACCTCACCCACTTCGGGGGAACATAAGAAGCGGGACTGGGTTATGAACCTGCCCAGTTCTGGACCCCGGTGAGAGGCAACGCAGTAGATCGTGGTGGCTGGATTTGTGCCGTCTTTCACACACATGCATCCTGCACGCGGGATCTGCAGCGTGCGCGGGGGGGGGGGGGGGAGGGGTAAGGGGCGTGCAGGACACGCGTGTGTGTGCACGCGTGCGTGCATGGTAATGTTAGTCATCTTCAGCCTTGGCCTTCTGGCCTTAACTGCCCTTAACTGAGCTATGGCAGGTGCCCAAGGGAGGTTCTCCTGGCCTGGCCGAGGACGAAGGCCATGCCTGCAGTGGCCTTGGTGGTCCTCCTCCCTGATTGCCCGCGATCACAGCCCCACCCCGGGGCCTGGGACCCACCAGAGTGCAGGGTTCACCTCGCCGGTCCTGGGTCCCCAGGCTCTCCGCCGGCTAAGTGTCCAGCTGACCCGGTGATGTGGCTCCGGGGCCCAGGTTCACGTCCTTAGCTTTAATCCCAAGGCCCCGCTGGCCGCTGGTGAGGTTGGAGCCCGCCTGCATCACCATCACCACCACCATCCTGGGGGGCGGGTGGGGGGGAGGGAGCCCCCCCACCCTCTCAGGGAGCGCTGAGGCCTTCCTTGCACGCACTTCTGACTTCCCAAGTGCACGCATTTTGCACCGCATCTGCACAGGGCGCCTGGAGTCTTCACAGCTGAGACACAGGACGCTCCTCCCGACGCCCCGAGGCGTGTAGGGCTGGGAGTAGGTGTGTGATGGGGGGGTGGGGGGAGGGAACAGTCCCTGGCTTCCTTAGTTTGGCTGCAGGTTGGGGTCGATCTGGGCAACGTGGCCAGGAAAGTGGCGCGAAGCCAGTGCAGACCTGTAGCCGTGCACGCACCCACGGTGTGCAAGGCCTGAACCCCCTGCCCACACAACAGGGCCCTGATGGGTTTGTTGAAGCCAGGTCGCCATCCAGGACTCGCGATGCCTGGGAAAGGCGTCCGCCCTCCTCAGGGGCGTGGCCTCAGCCACCGCTCCCCCCCCTCCACTTAGAAGCCGCGTCCCGGGCCGAGGTGGGCGTGGCTCGTGAGGGCGTGGGCGTGGCTCGCCAGGGTGTGGGCGGGGACAGCGCTGCGGCAGTCTTCCGGCGCAGGAAGCGCAGCAGAGGGGAAAGCAGATCGGGGTGATCTTCCCCCCCCAATCCCACACCCCGCCCTCCCCCCGCCTACTGTCTCCCGGTCCGGGGCACCCCGCGCCCGTCCGGTCGCGGCAGCTCGGCTTGACGTCGGAGTTGTCCGGCCTGGATGCTCCAGCCTTGGGGCATTGAGTTCGTATCCACTCTCAGGCGCGCGCTTCCCGCCTTGCAGCGCCCCCCCCCGTTATTAACAGCGGGGGACCCCGCACTAGGGTCTGTGTCCGACCTCGCGCACTTCCCTCCGGGAATGTTAGGATCAGCGAGGATGGAGGGCCGGGGAGAGGGGGCACGAGAGAGAGTTCTGGGGGGGGGGGGACCACGTGGCTTGTCTGCGAGGCGGTGCCCCCGGAGTGGGGAGCACTCGGCCGGGCATGGGGGGCGGGGGCTTCCTGATCCCTTCAGGGTCGCACACATTACCCATGATGATTCCTTGCAGCCTTTTGTGCTCAAGAGAAAGGTTGGAAATGCATCTGCCAGCCAGCACTCGTCATTTTATGGAAGAGACAACGCCCTTGCCTCCCCCAAAGCAGGCGGGGTGCTCGGCCCTCGCCCCGGCAGACTTGGGGCCACACTTGGGGGTGAGCAGATGTTTTCCAGTCCCTTCGAAAGCACGATTGCCTCCTTCCACCCCCTCCCACCACCCCCCCCCCCACAAAAAAATAATGGTGTTTTGAAGTCCAGGCTACGTCTGAAAATCTACACCGGAAACAGAGCTTGCTTCCTTCCAGGCGTTGAGCCCCTGCTGGGCTCAAGAAAGTTCTAGAGTTTGAAGGAAGGAGCGGCACCCGCAGGCCACTCCGGACCCAGACGGCCTCTGCTCCGGGAATATGGTGTCTGCGTCCACGTGGGCCTGTGTCCTCTTCTAAAATACTGGGGACAGGGGGGAGAGGACCGTCTAGCACCTTCCTTCTAAGGCAGCGGTGTGATCCCCTCAGGCCTGGCTCCTCGAGGGTTTGTTCAGGCTGCAGGGCCTCTTAGGACGGGTGCGCACGAGCCTCTCCTGGAAGCCAAGCCGGAGGAGGACCAGGACAGTGGCAACTTGGAGAAATCGAGGGCAGGGCCGCCCGGTGCCTGGCCTTGGATCTGCGGCGGGGTCAAAGGGCGATGCCAAGGAGCAGTGTTTGGGCAGAGCTGAAGTCGCTGCTTAGGTTGGATTCCTGGTGGATTCGGGGCAGACGGGGCGGGGGGGGGGGGAGGGAAGACACATTTTACTGGGATTTTTAAACACAGAACAGAACTGGGGGGTTCGCAAGCCCGGCCCCCAGCATCTGCCCACACCCACGTCACCGTGGCCGCACCCCGCCCCCTCCCCATGAGAATCCAGCAAAGCAGAATCTTTCTTGGTGTGTCATGCAGCCAGCACATAAAACTGTCCTTTTGATCGAGTGTGGCCGGAGGTGGCGGGTTGGCAGGTAGCTTACCAAGACCTGCGGAGTTGGAGCCAGGGTACATGCACCCCAAGCTTCTGATGGATACACGCGCGCCTCACCACAGTGCCTGCAAGGGGCGGGGGTTGGGCACGCACACAGTACTTTTACTCTTTCACGTGTGAACACAGCCACCGTACAGCGTTACTTGTGGTTTACCAAACACACACCCCACCCAGAGATGAGCACCAGTGGTCTGGTGAGGTTACATGTATTGGTAATCCTCTCCCGGCCTTTGATGATTCCCCCCCCCCCCCAAACCATAAGTGTGTAAGCAGCAGGGACTTAGCAGAAGCAGGCCGCGCCTCCTAAATGTGATTCGGACCATATGCGTTCTGCATTCATTCCTGGCTCGGCTTTTCTTCTGCACACTAACTGCTAACACGTTATAGTCACCTTGAAATTTCCTCTGCTATTTTCCAATTAAAAGCTTAATAGCCCTGGAAACGGAGTTCATGTGGTGAAGTTTACCATAGTCCCTTGTTCTGAAAGGCTTTCTGCTGGGATCCCATTATGTGCTTGAATAAACCCTTTCTGCAAACAGAAATGGGACTCGGGGTTGTCAGGTGTTGGGTTACAATAGACTTTGAGGCAGGGGACATTTTACCAACATAAATACGAACCTGTCCCTATAGGGAGATGTTGTCAAATACTGGGATATGGAAAACATTCCCATCAAATATGAGAAAAGGATTACTGCTCTATATCAAATGAGTATTTAGATCTCAGCCCGCGATGTGCACTGGAGTGAAACGGGGGCCCCTGGACCAAATAATGCCAGACTGTGTGAGTGGCATCAGGCTAGGTGAGCGAGGAAGGATGGGATGTGGGGGTGCGCTTAGGGGTGCAGACGCCATCTGAAGCAGGGGTGCAGCGCTCTTGTTTGCCTTTTTTAAACAGGTCTTGACTCCATCTTACTGATCGGTTTCCCTCACCATTTGGATACATCCAGCTTCGTTTAAAAAAAAAAAAAATCCTTCGTCCCCGGGTCTCCCAGAGACCACAGATTCTAGAACGAAAGATCCGGGATGCAGGGCCCTTCTCACCCCTTCCGGATCTCTCTGCTCACCAGAATCTTCGGCCACGTTCCCACTTTTCCCGCTTCAGGTCCCGGCAGGCCGTTCCAAGACCTCTGCCCGGCGCCCTGAGAGTTCATGAAAATTCCTTTCCCCGTTGTAGTGTTTTGGGGCTTTGCAGGCCTGGTGAACAGTGGGAGGAGAAGAGGGATTAAAGGGTTTGGGGGGGGGATGGAGGAGGGACCGGGCCCGGGGCGGGGAGGGGGTGGAGGTGCGGAGAGACTGCGGGGACCCAGCTTTGGCCCCAGGGTTCTTGCGGATGTGTAAGAGCTTCCTCCCCAAGCCCCACCAGATTGGCTTCCCTCCCTCCCCCCCCCCCCCCCCGCTCCCTACCCCTGATGGATCGAAAACCCCGGGTTGGTTTGGAGCTTGTAAGAAATAAACGCACGCATCTGAGTTCTCCTTTCCACCCCTTCTCCTTCCCCAATCGCCCATCTAGGCGCAGGAGGGGTAGGTGGGCAGCCGGGACCCCCGGCGGCGCCGTGTTCGAGTTCACGTCGACCTCCGGAGGTGGTGGGTAGCTCGCCGGCGTCCACGGCAGTGAACAGGGCGGTGAACAGCTCTGGGGCCCCCGAGCAGCGGAGAGGTCTGGCACCGCTGCAGACTCCCGTAAGCTCGCCTCCGGGCGCGGAGTCCGGAGATCTCAGAGTCCGACGGGTTCGTTGGGTTGTAGTTGTTTGGTTTGGTTCGAGGGTTAAGAGGATTTCAGCGGTTTTTTAGGCGCGCGTAATTAGCGCGCATCGGCACAAGACCCCCAAACCCGCGCTCACTGGAAATGGGGAACCATCTAGAACAAATTGAAAGCTGTCAAATAACACTTAAAGCTTTCTACGGTCACCTTGGGGGAAAGGCCCTCTCCGTCCTTCCTGCCAAAGACGTTTGTGGGTGGGATCCGATGGCCTGGGGCCGGCTCCACATCCTGAGGGTTTGACCCGAGTCACGCGTGGCCTTCGTGGGGGTACAGCGATGCTGGTTGTGGGGTGGGGGGAAGAGGAACACAGGCCGCCGGCCGACCCGGAAGGGGGGGGACCCTGAACGTGGCGCGTGCGTCCCCTCTGTGAAAGTCTAGCCCGGCGCCCAGGGCGACCGTCCGCACGAGCAGCTCTCCGGCCTCTCCGGGCCAAGACGTCCTCAGATCGGGGCGCGGGGGAGAAGAGGATCGAAAAATCAAACTCGCTGGCCACAGCTCGTCAGGCTGACTTTTCTTTTTCTCTTTTCAACAACAAAACCAACCCCAACCCCACACATCCCACGCTTGTTTCGTCTTGAGCAACAAAAGAAAAAGTTTGCCAAAGGAAACCAAGAAGACAGTCCCGAAGCTCCGGGGTCTGCACCTCCCCCTCCCCCCACCCCCTCCTCCACCCCCCCCCCCCTCGGCCCCTCATTCCACCCGCCCGCGGCCGCAGGACTGAGGACTCGCCTCTCCTCGAAACCCGGGTCTGGGGTGCCGCGCCGCCCTCCTGCAGGCTCCGGTCCTCGCCGAGCGGAGTTTCCGTAGCCTAGGGTTGGGGAGGGTGGGGAGGGGGGGGATAAAAGCGATCTGGGGCGCCGTACCTCCAGATCAGGCCTGGAGGGAGCAAGCAGAGAGCTTTCGGGGACCGCTTTCGCCGCGGCGCTGGCGTGTGGGGGACCCGCCCCCCCTCACCGGGGCAGACCCCTCCCCTTCCCTGCCCCGGAGCGCACCGCGACGCACCCGCGCCACGCAGTCGCTCCTGCCTCCCCGAACGGGTAGCGCGCGCGAGGGATGAGCGGAATGGGGGGGCCGTGAGCGCCCCCCGCGAGAGTGGCCTGGCTTGCAGGTGGCGAGGAAGGTGAAGTGCGAGGACCCCCGTGCGTGGAGGAACAGGAGAGCGTGGGGTGGAGGAGGGCCGAGAGACGCGGGACCCGGGGAGTGGTGGAGGGGGGGTGTGGCGGGGGACGGGGAGGGGCCGGTGGGGAGGGAGGGGAAGGAGGGAGGGAGGGCGGGCGGCGGAGGAGGTGCGGAGCCCCGGGGGCCAGTGGAGACCGCAGCTGCAGAAGCGTCGGATCGGTGGGTAAACCGGAGCTCGCGCCAGCTTCTGGCGGCGGCCCGGGCGGCGTGTGGGAAGAGGAGGACGAGCGCGCGGGTGGAGCTGTGCGGGTCGGGACGCGGCCCTCGACGGCGGGCGGGGGGGGGGGGGCGGTGGAGATCGGCGGGGACCAAGCCGGGGAGGTCGAGGCCGGGAGCCAGCGCTTCAGGATCTGGAGAGACAGACGGCAGCGCCACCGCCCCCAACCTCTTTCCTACCACGCCGCCGGTCGCTCCGGGACGCACGCGGAGAGGGGAAGTGAAGTCCTCGAGGCGGGGATCGCAGCCATCCGGAGGCCGATCGTCATCTCCCTGGAGTTGAGCCCTCCTGGGCCCCGCCATCTCGGAGCGCCCCGCTGGCCTGATCCAGCCGCCAGCCCCCTTCCACTCTCCCGGGCGTCCCGGGCATGAACGGCTACGGATCTCCCTACCTGTACATGGGCGGCCCGGTGTCGCAGCCACCGCGGGCGCCCCTGCAGCGCACGCCCAAGTGCGCGCGCTGCCGCAACCACGGCGTGCTGTCCTGGCTCAAGGGCCACAAGCGCTACTGCCGCTTCAAGGACTGCACCTGCGAGAAGTGCATCCTCATCATCGAGAGGCAGCGGGTCATGGCGGCGCAGGTGGCCTTGCGCCGGCAGCAGGCCAACGAGAGCCTGGAGAGCCTCATCCCCGACTCGCTGCGCGCGCTGCCGGGGCCTCCACCCGGGGACCCCGCGGCCACCCCGCAGCCGCCAGCCTCGCAGGCGTCCCAGCCGCCGCCGCCGCCGCCACCGCCGCTGCCGCCGCCGCCGCCGCCGCCTCCGCGCCCGGCCGCTGAATTGGCCGCGGCCGCCGCGCTGCGCTGGGCCAGCGAGGCCCAGGCCGGGGCGCTGCACGCGCCACTCGCCAAGCCAGGTGAGCGCAGACTTCGGTGCGTGTGTGTGCGTGTGTGTGTGTGTGTGAGAGAGAGAGAGGGGGGGGACCCTGGAGCCCCAAGGCAGGACCGGACCGTGCACCCGGTGCATCGGCCTCGCCAGATCCCTTGCCTTGAGCTTAGCAGAAAGTGTGGGGTTCCGCTGGGGAGGGAGGCGGTTAGATGATCAGTTTTTAACTCGGAGCTCGCGCCCGTGCACCGTGCACCCTGCGGTCGATCAGGCTTTCTGGGTGGCTTTCCAGGGCCTCACGTTTGCCGGGCAGGCGTTTGGCAGGTGCAGCTTCCGAGCCAAGGCCCAGGGCTTGGACGAGTTACCGACTTGAGTGAACCTGTAATCCTGTTAGCTGCGCGCTGCGCCTTCCCCCAGACTTACCTTTTAGTTGAAAGAAGCCTCATTCTGGGGACTCAAAAGACACAACAGCTATTTCAGGCTTGTCCAGGATCAATTCCTTAGGCATAACTTTGGTCTTTTTTTTTTTTTTTTGCCGTTTCCCAGGCTGCGTTAGTTTTTTCATGTGGGTTGAAGAAGTAAAAACAAAACTTGACCTACCTAGCAGAGAGGGAAAACCTCTTGGGGAAAGCAGTTTTCCAGGTGGCTTTGGGCCTCAGCTTGCAAAAACCAGGGTTCAGAGGGAAGGCTTTCTTGTCTCCCTTTCTCCCCGCTTTCTTCTCCTTTCCTCCACCCCTAGGTGGATATGCATCCCCTTTCGATCTATCTCTTTCCTTCATTTCATTTCTCCCCAATGGAACGGATCCCTCAGTCTCTTTCCTCCCAGAGAGTCTCCAGCTTCTTGAATTTCAGTAGAGTGTATGGGCCGTTTCGTTATACTCAAAGGAAAGCTCACCTCCTCAGGGCAGTTGATATGCTAGAATTCCAGAGTGGAAGGCCCACGGTCTTCCTATAGGAAGTGTAGGGTCAAATTTACTGAGTTCTGGAATTGACCTCCGTTTCCCCTGTGCCCCCAGGTCTCCCTCTAGTTTAAAAAAAAAAATCTCTCATTCCAGTTGCCAAGCCAGCCGTGGTTGTGCAGCCTTGCGGTTTATCACACGTTTTGCTAAGTTTCTGTGTTCTCAAGACTAACAGTGCAAAATAATATATATTATTTAAAAGTATATTATCAGAACCAATTTGTAATACCCCCCCCCCCCCATCTCTTTGGTTTTATAACAAACCGAAGACTCATACGTGTGTAGTTAGCATCTGTTTTGGACTCCTCCCCTGAAGGAAAGGGGACCCCATTTTGGGTTTTCTGAAAATTGAGTGCCTCATTCTTTCTATACCATCTACTTGTAACACCCACACACAATACACTCTCCAGGTATATCCCCAACTCCGATGTGAGGTGCTCAGAATCTTTGGGAGATACTCCTTTGAAGCCCACTGGTAGAAATGAAGTCCCTTTTCCTTTCGGAAGACTGCTCTTGGAAGTTTTGTTTCGCCTCTCCTTGCTTACAGTGGACTGAGGTACGGGGGCTTCCCATGCACCTCCAAAGCTACCCCTGCCTGCAGAGTGACTTTCTGGAGCATTGGGCTACTGCTGTGTGGAATGGAGAAGCTGTCCTCACTGGATTGGCGTGAGAAAGGAGCCTGTAGCCTAGATCCAGGGCCTTGCCCCTGTACTCAGTTCTGCTGTCTAGGCCTGAAGCCCTGCAGACAGCTTCTGTGAGAGGGTGTTTTAAAGGAGGGACAGAAGAGTTTACTGAACAAGTGCTTTGTGGATACTGAATACATACAGGGGGGATAAGCCTTTCTCTGAGGCATGCACCTTTCCCAGTTGTCTCTCTTTTGTCTCTCCTCTCCTCATAGTTATGGTTTTGCTACAGAGAAGATACAGGAAGAGTGTCCTGGTTTTGTTGCTAGGAAATTTGGATCTCAGCTGTAAAAGTGTCTCTTCCTTAATTTTCGTTAAAACAGCGTCTCACCACAGAGCCCAGGCTGACCTCTTCATTCTCCCGCCTCAGCCTCTTGAGTGCCTGGATTACAAACAGACACCACTACACCTGTCATCTCTTCTCAGACTTTCCATTGTTAGTTTTCCTAGCCGTTATTCTACCACCACCCCTACCCCGCCCAGGACTACAGCAAAAGTCAGAGCTAATGTCAGAGGTAGCACTTTGCTACATTCACACTGCGTTGGGTAGCGTGGTCCTTGTCTAAGAGGAGATTTCTTTACATACATCCTGTGTCCCTCGGTTCTCTGAAATAGCCCGTTAGAGAGTCATAAGAAAGAGAAGTAGGGGCAGGAGGAAAGGCAGAGTAGCAGCTGCAGTAGCAACAGAACATAAGCTTTGGGGGAATAAAAAAGGGCAAAAGATTAAGACTAGACAAATTAGACCTGATGTTTTCTCTCTGTCTCTCTCCTCTCCCTTCACTTCTATCCTTTCCTCCTTCTTTTCCTCTCTTTACCAAGTATGCAAGGATACCCTAAGGTTTCCAAATTGAAAGCAAGTAATTGCAAGGAAAGGTAAGAGATATCTTTAAAAAACTAAGTTGTGAGGGACTTAGAAGCCCAGTTACCATCTGGTCAACCATATACCTACACATTCCTTTACATAGCTCTGGTTTTCTTCTTCAATTATTTTGACTCCTGTAATACTATTCTTTAAATCTAATCTCCAATGCAGTGTGGAGGTAGGAAAAAAAAAAACCACCAGATAATTGTTTTTCCTGTAGAAATAGGAACATACAAGTGGGTCCCTTCTGTGCAATGCATGTAAAAACGAAAGAGTCTGTGTGATGCTGAAGTTAAAGAAATCTGATGGAAGCCGCTGTATGTGTTTATACTTTTCCTGCATTTGCTCTTGTAATATATTTGTAACATACCATGCATATTTAGAAACATATCAGATACCCCTGCTAAGTAGCTCATTGATGGTAGTAAATTCTTAGACCCACAGGAATCTCTAAATATTGGCAGTGAAATCCTGTAGATCTATGATTTTGTGAACTTTACTTTTTAAAACCTGGTTGGACTTTTTTTTTTTTCAGGGCCAATGGCCTCTTTGGTACATAGCTGTGGAGAAGTGTCTGCCCTCCGCCCCCCCCCCCCCCTACAAAGGCAGGTGTATGGGCACATGGGGTATTTTGTCCTGTCTAGAAATCTTTGAGAAAAGAACTTGCCTTAGGAAGGATGTTTGCAGGGCATGTCTAGAGAAAACCCACTATGTTCAGGGAGTGACACATGAATGTCAAACTCAGCTTCATATCTGAAATAAATATTTGCCAAATCCTATAACAGATTCTTCAAAAGGCTGGGTGCTGGTGGCTCACTCCATTCAAGGATCTGAGAGCTGAGGATCATGGTTTGAAGTCTGCCCCAGCAGGAAGAGTCCTTGAGATTTTTTTTCTCTCTCCAATGAACCATAAAAAACCAGAAGCAGACCAATGGCTCAAATGGTAGAGTGCTATTCTTCAACACAGAAGCTCAGAGACAGTGCCCTGAGTTCAAGCTCCAGGACCAGTACCAAAACAAAAATAACTAAGGAATGTATATAAAAAGGAATTTAAGTAAAGATGGGACAGGTTTAAACATCTTTTTCAGTGTAATTTCTAAGAAGAATTTCTCTATCTTACTTATTGTACTTCTAGCCTTCTAGCTATAGATGTATGGGTTAAAGGAAGTGTATGCATGTATGTATGTGTGTGTGTGGGGGGGTGTGCATGTGTGCATGTGTGCTGGTACTAGGACTTGATCTCAGAGCCTGTCCCGTAGTTTTTTTCTACTCAACCACTCTACCAACCGCTTCCGGTAGTTTGGTGAATTGAAAATAGTCTCATGACTTCCCTGTCTGGGATGACTTCAAACCATAATCCTTAGATCTCAGCCTCCTAAGTAGCTAGAATTACAGTGGGGAGCCATTGGTGCCCAGCTTTAAAGTGTATATTTAATTTTTTTAAATTGTAGATCTCTCTTGCTTTTGGATTGCCATCTGTGCCCGACTTAGAATTGTTAGATTTTGATTGAGCTCCAAATTCACTTAATAGTCTCTCTGTATTGTCTCTCTATATACTAAGATATTTTTTTTATTCTTTTCATTTCTCTGGAACCCTTCCTCCTGTTAAAAACAACAGGATGTCTTTTTGCTGCTGGAGTATCTGAATCAGCATTCTCTACCAGCCCAGCCCGCGTTTCAGGACTTGGTGCTCTAGAGTTGAGAGAAGTTAAGGGTCACAGCCAAGGTGAGAAGCTGCAATCTTTCGGGTTGTGGCTTTCTTCCCTACCTGGGCTTCTTCCGCTGGGCCCTCCACCCAGGTGCCTTGAGAGGAAAGATCCGTAAGTCTAGACCCATGATCAGAATAAATGCAACTTGTCTGTGAAGGAAAAGGAGAAGGCAAATTTGGTGCGGGGGTAGGAGGAGAGCAGCTGGAACAGGAAGCGAGGACCTCCTTTCCTGTTTGGTTTGTTTGCTTGTGAAGGGGGAAAGTTAAGACAGAAGTTGGGAGATTTTTGGAACACTTTCTTTACTTCATGTTTGCATTGGACTTTTCAGCCCCAGCTGGATTGGGTCTCTTCATGGTCTGTTTTCATCTTTTTAATTTTGCTGCATTAAAAAAAAAATGTCCTAAAGAGAAGTCCCTGGTCAGTCTGTTCTGTGAGATCTTACCCAAGGCAAGAAAGGAAACTCTTTGGGCTGCAGAGTAAGAACCATCCAGAAAGTTAGGGCTGGATCATAAGGAAAACACAGTCTGGTTTTAAAATGGTTAACTTGAAGCCAGGGGCTTAAAAATACAAGTAGATCAAAAAGGAATAAATGGAGAGCACAGCTGTCACTTAAAAACCTTTGTCCAGAGCTGGCTTTTGGGGTGCTGAGCCACCAACATCAGGGTGAGTACCCAGAGCCGATTGAGCAAAATCCATGCAACCAGCTTTTAAAAACACCACCACCAATCAGATGCCAGAGATTGCAAGGGACATATGTGAAAACCTTTTTCTTTACTTATCTGAAGCTCAAGTTCACCTGGGCAACCTATCAGTATATT